AGGGAGAAAATTGCGGCAATGAATGAATGGAAATCCGAAACCTCTGTAAAAAAAAAAGCATATACTTAAAAATAAAGCTTTCCCCAAAGGATGTAGAATTGTTAAAGCAGAAAACTGTAGTTCTACCTATTTTTGCTTCTTACCATTTCCAATTGACAACAGCCAAGAACTACATGAAAGTCACTGTAAGTTATGCACAAATTCCCAGAATTTATTATAGGATCTTCAGTAAGAAAGGTAGTAGTAGTAATTATACAAGTCTAAAGAGAGAAATATGGGCAATTAATTTTTTTGTTATAAGATTTTTTATTAATTTTAATGAAAATTTACAGAGATTTAGGGTTTCCAGTCATTCATTGTTGCACTTTTCTCCCTGCCCCCCAATTCACTCTTCTCCTTGATAAGTAAAAGAAAAATTCTTTCATTGTTATGCAATCCCTCCCCCGCCCCCAAGTCCACTACTGTGTAATTAATTAATTTATAGCAGCCTCTGAAAACTTGCTGGTGAGTCAGGTACGAGTTGGTGCCAAATTAAAAGTACCTAACAATAAAAAAGAATAAAACTGTTGCTCAGTCCTACACAGTATTTCTGATCAGCTGTGGATAGGATGGTTAAGATCCACAGAATTTTCACTGGCTGATTTTTACAAATAGATTGCTAGGCTTTTCTTCTTACTTCATCTAAAAATGAGAGATTCTATGTGATGCAATTCATTCAAGCCATGAGTGGCAATACTAAAAGATGTTCTGGGCAGAATGTTAAATGATCCAAGAAGCATTAAAAGAAGATGGAAGGAGTATACAGAGTCACTGTACCAGAATGAATTGGCTGACACAGAATAATTTCATGAAACAACATATGAGCAAGAGCCTGTGGTGATGTAGGAAGTTCAAGCTGCTCTGAAAAACTGGCAAAAAACAAGGCTCCAGGAGTTGACGGCATACCAACTGACATATTTCAACAAATAGATGCTGCCCTGGATGTCCTCACTAAGTTGTGCCAATAAATCTGGAGGAAAGCCACCTGGCCAACTAATTGGAAGAGACTGATATCTGTTCCCATTTCAAAGAAGGGTGACCAGACAGGTTGTGGAAAGTATCGAACAATATCATTAATATCACATGCAAACAAGATTATGCTAAAAATTATCCAAAAACAACTGGAGCAACACGTCAACAGAGAACTGCCAGATGTGCAGGCTGAGTTGAGACAAGGCTGTGGTATTAGGGATATTATAGCTAATGTTAGATTGATCTTGTCAGAAAGCAGAGAGTACCAGAGTAATGACTATCTGTGTTTCATTGACTATGCAAAGGCTTTTGACTGTGTGGATCACAATAAACTGTGGCTGACTCTGAGAAGAATGGGAATCTCAGAATATTTGATTGTGCTTATGCAAAACCTACACGTGAACCAAGAGGCAGTCATCAGAACAGAGCAAGGAGACACTGCATGGTTCAAAATCAGGAAGGGTGTCTGCCAGGGATATATCCTGTCTCCATACCTTTTCATCTATATGCAGAACAGATCATCTGGGACACTGGGCTGTATGAGGAGGAGTGTAGCATCAGGATTGGAGGAAGATTCATCAACAACCTGTGTTATACAGATGACACAACCCTGCTGTTTGCTGAAACTGAGGAGGACCTGAAGTACTTGCTGCAGAAGGTCAATATGGATTGAAGCTCAACATCAAGAAAACTAAAGATTCTCACTACTAGGCCAAATGGCAGGATCAGGATAGATGGTAAAGAAATTGAGATTGTTAACAGTTTTCGTTTTCTTGATTCCACAATCAACACTCTTGGTACCAGCAGCCAGGAAATCAAGAGACGAATTGCATTGTGAAAGTCAACTGTCAGGGACCTCTCAAGAGCAGCAACGTCAAGCCGGAGACTAAAGGGTGCCTGATCCGGGCCACACTCTTCGCAATTGTATGCTATGTGTCAGAGAGCTGGACAGTGACTAGAGATGACAGAAAGAGAGTTGATAACTTGGAGCTGTGGTGCTGGAGAAGAGTGTTGAATATACCATGGACTGCTGGGAGAACAAACAGGTTCATCCTGGAGAGGGGGAAACCGGATTGCTCCTTGGAGGAAAGGATTCTGAAGCTTCGTCTGACGTATTTTGGGAATGTTGAAAGGAGCGACCAGTCCTTGGAGAGGGACGTCATGGAGGGTGGAGAGACAGCACTAGACAGGAAGACCCTTGATGAGATGGATCGATTCAATAACTGGGGTAACGGGAGTAGGTGTATTGGAGACAGTGAGGTTGGCACAGGATAGAGTAGGATTTAAGGCTCTTGCACATAGGATCACTATGAGTCACAAGCAACTCAATGGCATATAACAACAACAACAATGTGATGCAAATGGTTAATACACTCTGATGCTAACAAAGATGTTAGTGATTCAAGTCTACCCAGACATGTCTTAGATGAGAGGTCTGATGCCTTTGTTCCTATTAAAACATCAAGGAACAGGGGAGCTCTGGTGGCCTACTGGCAAGGAGCTGCAACTACAATCCCAGAGGCGCATGGTTCGAATTCACCAGATGCTCTGCAGGGGAAGGAGGGACAATCTCCTCCTGTACGAGTCAGATCTGATTGGACGGTACACTCACACAAAAATAATAAAATTTAAAAAAAAAAACAACACAACACATCAAGGAACACAGTTCTACTCTGATACACACAGCTTTTATAAGTCAAAACTCTACTTGATAGCAACTAGATTTGTAATGGAACTAG